ACAGGCTGCCTGCTTGGTGCCTAGCGGAGGCCAGGCTGTGGAGATCCCGTGTGGGGAAGGGTGGGGATCAGAGAGGTTGCCACAGGGTCCGCAGGGTGGAGAGAGAAAGGGAGGCCTAAGGAGGAAGGGGGGCAGCGAAGCCAAGACCAGGACCCACAGAGATGGCCAGGGGTCGGAAGAGAAAGGGACGGGTCAACCTTGCGTGCCAGGGTGGCCTTGGCCAGCTGAGAGCAAAGGGGTTGGGCCCACCTAGGGCTGTGAGGGCTGGTGTCCTGGAAAGAAGCCCAGTGGGGGTGGGGGAGGAAAGTACCCTGCTGACCATCACCAGGCCAGGCCAAGGTTGTTGGTGAGGCTGAGCTGTTCGCAGACCCTCACGGGACAGGCCCCAGCTCCACTCACAGATGCCCGGGCCAGGCGCTGGCTGCCACCCCTGCTCTGGGCCTGCACCTGGTGCTGCCCTCTGCCTCCTCCCTGCCTCAGCCCTGTCCTCGCCTCGCCCCTCCCCTCTCCTTCTTCGTTCCTCAGCTCCTCAGCCCCTTCTCCGGCTTTCGGTCTGGTCCCTGCCCTCTGCCACTAGACCCTCCTGGGCCCAGGGCGTGTGTGGCCCCGCCTCCGTCCTGGAGGGAAGGTCTGGAATGCAGAGCCCTGGTGCCAGGGCCTGGGGGTGGTGGAGGGAGCTGGGGCTCAGGAAGGAAGGGGCTGGCAGTTGGCAGTGGCCTGTTGGAAGGACGGTTGGGGGTGAGCACTTGGAATGGAGACGGGGCGACAGTTGGCGGTGGCAGCTGGAGCGGCAGTTGGGGATTGGCAGGGGCGCAGGCCTGGAGGACAGTGGGGTGGGGCAGCGTGGGGTTGGCAGGTAGCCCCTGGCCCAGCGCAGCTCTAGAGGGTGGTCTCTGGGAGGCCCAGCGGGAGGCAGAGCCAGCTGGCAGCAGCCAGGACTCCAGCCTCAGCAGGCGGCCTCCCCGGCCTCAGGGTGGGGCTCTGCTGCAGCCCAGGGTCCACCCACAGGACCCAGGATGACGCGCAGCCTGGGCAGCCTCAGACCCACCGGCCTGCTGGTCTCTATCTCCTTCTGCCCCCCTGGGCCAGGCCCCCTCCCTGGGGGGCTTCCAACAGGGGCTCCGGGGCAGGCACAGGTTCTGGGCAGTTCCCAGGGAGGGGGCAGGACTCCCAGGGCTGTTGCCATAGGGACAGCTGGAGAATAAACAGGCAGGTTCCCTGACCAGTGACTGCAGCAGAAAACCCAGTGGGGGCGGATGGGGAGGGTGGGGCATGTGGTGAAGGCCCTGGCGGGGGTCCCCAGGAACATGTAAAGGAGTATTTGCTGTCCCTGTCACCACCTTTCCCAAAGCTGCCCCAGGCGCTGCCGCACGGGGCAGGACATGGGAGGCTGGTCCTCGCGCTCAGCGGCATCAGAACACCCGCATGGGGCATGGGGCTGGGTCCCCTCACAGCTCCTCTGCCCCCTGAAGCCACGTGGGGTTGGAGGGCAGGCAGAGAGCTGGCCAGCACATGGTACACAGGGCTGTGAGCACAGGGGACGGTGCCAGGACCTTCTGGGAGGCTTGCCAGCCATGTGGCTCCCGGCGCAGGCCTGTCCCTCACAGGCCTGGGGTCTGTAGGTGGGGGCAGGGCAGCATGCTCTGAGGGGCTGCCATCAGCAAATGCTTCTGCGAGCCCCAGGGGCTGGCCTCTGCATCTAGGCTCCTCAGCCCCGAGCCGTGGCCTGCTGATGCTCATTCTCTTCAGGACCGCAGACCCTCCCGGGCTTCAAGGTGTCCCTTGGGCAGGCTGCAGACACAATCACCCACATGGCTGGGGGTGAGTTTTCAGTATGACCACCACGCAGCCTTCAGCAGTGCGGAGCCCTGGTCATCCACTGGTCTGGTCCACAGCTTAGCCAGGGTTCATCATGGCAGGTACCATAGCCTCTGGACCCTCCCAGACACCCATGTGCTGGCTCCCTGGGCCCTGGATGCTGGGTGTCCAGGTCCAAGAGCATCACCAAGGCCAACCCCACACCCTCAGTCCTCACTCGTTTCCAGAACCGCTTCCAGGGCACAGCCGCCCTCACCAAGGCCTCCCGTCTACGGACGGAGAAGGGCTGACTGGTGGTCAGGCAGCAGCTCCCTCCTGGGGTCTGGGTCAAGCCTCAGGGCTGAAGGGCAGTGCAAGAGAGGAGGCTTTCTGGCCTAGCCTGGCATCTGCCCAATCCTAGTAGTAACTTAGCTGGTGCCGGGCACTAATGAACAAGGGGTTCCTGGGGCAGGGCTGCCAGCATTTCCCCATCACGCTAGAGACACTGAGCCGGCTCCAGGGCATCCAGCTGCTGCTATTAGTTCTTTGCTTTTTTCTTTTCTTTTCTTTTCTTTTTTGGTACGTGGCCCTAGCGGGAATTGAACCTGGGACTCTCTAGTCGGCAGGCCGTCGCTCCAACTGCTGAGTCAAACCAGCCAGGGTTTTTTAAAAAAATATTTTTTTCCTTTATTGATTTTAGAGAAAGAGAAAAGGGGAGAGAGAGAGAGAGAGAGAGATAGAAATATGGATAAGAGAGAACATTGATTGGCTGCCTCCTGCATGTCCCACACTAGGGACTTGGCCCACAACCTGGGCATGTGCCCTGACCGGGAATCGAACCAGCGACCTCTTGGTGTGTGGGTCGATGCTCAACCACTGAGCCACACCTGCCAGGCTGTTTTTCTTTTCTTTTTTTAAGGGCAAAGGGTGTCAGCTCACAGAATAACCATCTAGAGACAGTGGACTTCAGGCATGGCTTGATCAGGGCTCTCTAGGACTGTTCCTGGTCCTGCCATTTTGGTGTATCAGCTTTATCTTCAGGCTACTTGTCCTTCTGTTGGTTCTTGGAACAGGAAAGATGGGAGTCTCAGCTCCCCGTCACTGGCAAGGCTGCTTCGGGGAGGCGGGGGAACCTTGATTTACCATCATGCAGGGTAGGGGAGTGAGGAGAGGGAGTCCCAGGGCCCCAACTCAGCAAGGCTTTCTATCAAGACCAGAAGCCGCAGGCTGGCAGGTGGGTGGGCCCTGGAGAGACAAAGGCTTGGTCTCCTGAGCATTGACTGAGCACCACTGTGTGCTCTGACCAAGGCAGCTGGACAATGGACACAGCATCCTAGCACAACTGTTCTCCTTGGAGAGTGTCGTGTGTGTGTGTGTGTGTGTGTGTGTGTGTGTGTGTGAGCCCTCTTAGGAGAAACTCTCTCTGAGGGAGGCAGGTAGGTATCAGGAGTTAGGTCCTCCTGGGTTCAGGGTCCTCAAGCTGACCTCCTTTTCTCTAAGGCTACACATATGCCCTAGGTAGGCAGGTGGGGGATTCCTGCAGAGAGACCTCTGTCCTTTCAAAGGGAGGAGGCAGGTGACTCTCCTGTTGGCCTAGAAGCAGCCACTTGCCAGGGTGGCTGTACTCAGCCCCCCTCCCACAGGCCCAGGAAACAAGGGCAGTTGTTCCAGACAGCAAAGATTGCACCGAGAGGGTCCTCCAGAAGAGAGGAGGATCCTGGGCCGGGAGTGCTGGTCTGCACAGCCGGTCATAGGCACTGCCAGCTCGCAGTGAGGGAGTGTCCCAGCCTTTCATCGCTGGCTGCCAGACCGACGTTCGCCCTTGTTCACTCAAGGAGAATTCCACCACCCTCCCCCGACCTGCCCTCCCACTGCAGCCCAGTGAATGCCTCCTTACACATCCTGAGAAAGCATCCATAATGGCCCGCCGCCTCCCACCTCCCAAGGAATTCCGCGGCGCTGGGCCCGCAGGGAGGCAGGGCGCAGACGGCCCGCGGCGCCTCCCCATTGGATGGTCCGGTCTTGCTCGACTCCCCTGCGCGGCTGGCCAGCCACAGGCTCACCTCCCTTCCCACCGCCGCGCCCGGGAGAGGAAGCGAGGTGGCCTTTGCCCCGGCACAAGCCAGCCAGGAATGCGGGGCCACGATTCTCATTACGCCCGCCCCAGGGCTCGAGTACAGCGTGGGGGAGAAGGGACGCACAGGGCCCATCCAGGACAGCTGTATTCATGGTCGCATCCGGAGGGAGGGAGGGGCGTTACCCCACCGGACAGACGAAGTGGCGGGAAGGACCACTGCGAGTGGCCACCGGTGCTCCTAAGTTGGCCAAACCGAAGCCCCAGTGTCATGCACTGTGACGTGGCCCGCTCCCCGAGGTGCGTCTCTCCCTGGGCTCGGCGTGCAGTGCCCAGGCCCCCCGACTGCTCAAGGGCACCGGGCGTGGGAGCACTTTTTCGTTGCACATTCGTTGCATAGCGCGGGGCCCGCAGAGCCGCCTGGGCGCGGGGGAAGTCGCGAAGTTTGCGAGACGCGCGCCGCGCGGCTGCGCGTCGATGAGCGGGGACAGTCTGTGGCCCGGAGACCCGCGCGCCCCCGAGGAACAGACGCGTGGGCAACGCCGGGATGCTCAGTCGGACAGGGCCTGAGTGCCCTTGCCCCAACCCGAGCCTCCCATCCCGGGGGTCTCGGCTATACCGCCCTGAGGGAAGAGGCGCGGGTGCCCAGAGACCCCACGCCGCGCCGCCCCCACCCCCCGCCTGCCCAGGGGAGGGGGCTTCCCACAATGCCCAGCGAGCTCCTGCCCGCACTTCCGCTGTCCGGCCGCCCACAGGGGGGCCGTAGGAGGACCGACCCCCGCCGCGCCCCCTCCCGCTCCACCGCGCAGAGCTGGGGGCGAGCGAGCAGCGGGGCGCGCGGCCGGGCCGGAGGAGGCGGGGCCCGGGGCGGTGGCCGCGGCCGGGGCGCGGCGCGGGCCAATCAGCAGCTGCGGGCGCGCGCCGGGGGCGGGGTCGGGGTCCGCAGGCGGGGCGCGCGCGCGGGCGGCGGGGGCCGCGGGGTTGGAGCGGGCGCGGGAGCGCGCGCCGGCCTGACGGACGGACCGACGGACAGACGGACGGAGCAGCTGAGGCGAGCGCGCATCTCGGACCCGCCCGGACACGGCGTTCGCCCGGCGGCGGCGTTGGCGATCAGCGGCTCCGGTCCGGCGGCCGCAGCGCCCGCCCTCGTCCGCGCCCCATGGGGTCACAGGTAAGCGACGCCGGCTCATTGTCCGCGCGGCCGGCCAGCGCATCGCGGCGGGGCCGGGCGGGGGCCAGACCGGGGTCGCTCCGAGCCGGAGCCACTCCGAGCCGGGGCGCGCCACCGCCGCCTGCCGCCCAGCGCCCGCCGCGCCCCACCCCGCGGGGGCGCCCTCCTGGCGGCGATCGGCGCTCCCCGGTTGCGGCTCTGGAGCCGCTGGTGGCGACACCGACCCGGCCCCCACTGGTCCCTGAGCTCGGGTGGCGTGGGGCGGGGCGGACGGGGGCGGTGCGGGGTCCCCGCGGGGCTGCTCGCGGTGGCGGAGGCGGCAGCGGGACTGCCCCGCGCCCCTCGCCCTGGGCGCCTCCTGCCGCTGCCGCCGCGGTCCCTCCCCCGTCACCTCCGAAAGGGGAATTTTCCAGCTGGTAATTTCTGCTGCGTCAACGCCCGGCCCCAGGAGACAGCCCGGGGGCGTCCTGGCGCCCCTCACCCGCGCCGCCCCGCGCGCCCCCCGCCCGCGCCTCCGAGCCGCACCCGGACCCGCCCGCGCCGAGTTTGCCAAGAGTCGGAACTGCGGGAGGTGGGTGCGGGCGGGTCCCCGCGCCCTGCCCGGCCTTGGGGGGTCATTGTATCCCCCTGCAGCCGAGCACCAGCCTCGTCTCCATTTTAATTACCGGCTGAATCTGGGCTCTGGGGCCTCGGGGCCGGGCGGCTAGAGGAACGGGAAGGGACGAGGCGCGCAGAGTGGCGAGGGGCGCGCAGAGCCGACGGGGCGCGCAGAGGGATCGGGGTCCGCCGCGAGCCGTGTCTTTGTTTCTCTGTAAATAGACATGTCAGTTTCACAGGGTAGCAGGAGTCAGTATATGACAACTCAATCCCAATGGCAAATAGGGAGTTTTCTGCGCCAGGAGGAGGGCTCTGGCTAGTTGGGGTACCTCCAGTCCCGCTAACAAATTCATTATGCGTAGGTTTAACGGACCACGCACAATAGGGCTGGACCAAGGCAGGGAACCTGGGTACAAACCGAATGGGGCGAAGAACAGATATTTTCTGAGACCGAGGAAATATAAACAAAATAAAGTTTGACTGAGATTGTCAGCGAATTTCCTCATGCTCTCCCTGCTACAATCTCAGCGACGCATTTGTCCTGGATTACAGTGGCAAGATTGTTACCAGCATTGTTTAAAGAAATGCTAATTAGGCAACGGGTTTAGCAAATGGCTGGGCTGGCTGGGCGCAGACACCTGTGCACCCAGTACTCTCGCGCATTTTAATTGTATCAGTTGTAGAATCTTTCATACTGGATTTAATATCAAAGGTAACTTCCCGTTTGGGTAACAGACTTGTGGATTCTCTGTTGCTGGCCCGCCTGCTGCCTGCGCAAGGCAATATTTCCACTCTGCTAGAGTGGAAAATAGTTTGTTCATCAGAAGAAAATTTATGGAAGGCTTTTTTTTTTTTCATATGAATAATGAAGTAAACAATAGTGTTGTATCCAAGTAGAATCCTTCCACTGGGTATATTTTCTGATAGTTTCGGATATTTTGAACTGAAATTTGGGGACGCCTTGTTATTCCAGAAAGGATCAGGCGAATAATAGGCACACTTAGGCAGAAGTTACTGAAGATTGAAGGAGGAACTTAAACACGGTGTCCCCTAAAAAGCCAGTAATTATTTTCACATCCTTAACTGAAGAGAAGGCGGGGAGGGGGGTGACTGTGAGAGTTCTCTTTGGGGAGTGGTGGAATGTACTCACGATAGGCTATTCAGAAACCCCAAATCCAGGCTTTCCTGGATGCCAGCCTCAGGACTTTCATTGAAGCCTCTCGTTGACATTGTGGACGTAAGAATTTTGTTTTGGTTGGATGGGAAAATTTCTGTGTCGGTTTAGCTGTTTTGTGTGTGCTGTGCTCAGACTCGGTCCACGTCCCCTTTCGTGTTCAGGTCTTGCTGGCTGTTGCCTGCAGAGGCATCAGCTCTCCTGGGTGCTGCATCCTCACTCAGTTACCCAGGGACACGTCACCCCCATACACCCCAGGCTCCTTGGTCACCCATTAGCATCGAAAGGCTGAGGCAAACAGGGACCTGGAGGAAATACCCTGAAGTGTGACAGCCTTTCATTGCTAAATGATGTATTATTTACAAACATGTTAAACTGAATTAAATTTTAACAGAGTGAACTTTCCAACATTGTCCTTATGTGGGGTTTTTCAAATTAAGGGAAATTGGGCCATGCTGTCCCTGTGGTCTGTGTTTCTGGGACAGCTGTACCACTCTCATGCTTTGTTCTCAACCAGAGGTCTGGGACCAGCCTCCAAGAGCCGAGGAGACCCACTTAGGGTGCCGTGTTCAGAAAGTTCCGTGAGCCAGGACACTGGCGCTGAGTCCTCACTGCGGGTACTGTGTGCTCAGGTGCCCTCTTGGTTGCTGTCAGTGACAGGAGAGTTCTAGAAACCATTGGTCCTCTCGTCCCCACACCCAGAGTCACGGGGCCCTCTGTGCTGGGGGCTATGCTCCTGCCCAACGCGTGCTCAGAACAAATGTGGGCTTTTTCTTCTCTCCGACTTGACATCTTTTCCCCTGAAGTCGGCTGAGTGATGGTGCATTGCCAAGACTTCCCCTGTGAATGTCCCCCTGCCCTGAGAAAAGAGATTCTTCTTTTTTTTTTTATCCTCACCCGAGGATATTTTTTTCTTTTTTGTACAGATAGAGTGGGAGGGAGAGAGAGGAAGGGAGAGAGAGAGAAACATCGACGTGAAGGGACACATCGAGTGGCTGCCACCTGCACGACCAACCAGGGCCGGGGACAAACTGCAACCGAAGTACGTGCCCTTAGCGGGAACCGAACCCGGGTCTCTCCGGACCGCAGGCCGACGCTCTAACCGCTGAGCCAAACTGGCCAGGGCAAGAGATTCTTCTTTTTGCTGTAAGTTTGCTTCAGCGGCCTTTCCGCTGAGAAGGAATCTCCATTGAGGCCACAGATACTCTAAGTCTTTGGAACACAACTGTCTTGTCCTCATCCTGGTTCTTGTGTCCTCCAGTCTCGAGGTGGCTTTGCCACGGTTGGCGTGGCGGAGACCTGAGGCCACGACAGTGGCCACGATCTCCCCTTCCCTGCCACTCTAGCTGCGGTGCCGTGCAGCCGGAACCTGCGATTCGGGCTCGTGTCCGGCTGTTAGTGATGTCGGAACAGGCCCGTGGTGGTTCTGCTGAACCGTAAAAGACCACTCAGACTTGACCTCCGCATACGGTTTACGTCAAGTTTTCTGTTCCGTGTCTGTCAACCCTGCCACTTATGTACATTTGAACATTACTAAGTATTTATTTATTTAAATCCCCACCTGAGGATTTTTGAAAAGTATGTTTTTATTGACTTTTAGAGAGAGAGGAAGGGCGAGGGAGAGGGAGAGACAGATAGAAACATTGATGAGAGAGAAACATCGATTGGCTGCCTCCTGCGCACCCCCAGTGGGGATTAAGCCCACAAACCATGCATGTGCCCTGACCGGGAATCGAACTGGCGACCTCTTGGTCCATGGGTTGAAACTCAACCACTGAGCCACACCAACCAGGTGGATGTTTGTTTTTTAATTGATTTGACAGAGAGAGAGAGATCGATGTCAGAGAGAAATACCAATCAATTGCCTCCTGTACATGCCCCAACCGGGGATCGAACCCAAAACCTGAGTATGTGCCCTGACTGGGAATTGAACCAGCAGCCTTTCGGTGGTGTGGGACAACGCTCCAGCCAACAGAGCCACTGGGCCAGGGCCCTACGTATTTCTGAACATCACTTTTTGGATTTAAAAAATTAGTAACCTAGGTATTTTAGAGCAGGAAGTAGAAGAACAATGTTGGTGTATTTTCAACAGTATTTACAGAGCTTTTCTGTTTTGACAGATGTGTTTGTTAATCAGATCAGAGACATTCCCAGGGTTTCTTATTCATGACAGTTCTTTGGCCTTATCGAGGACCTGCTATGGACCAGCCTTCAGGCCAGGTTGGGGACAGAGTTCCTGGTGTGGATGACAAGGGCTAGTGACAGAGGGGCCCAAGAGCTCAGAGGACAGAGTGCAGACCATGGGGCGGACAAGGGGTCTCCTGAGTCTCTAAGACAGCTGAGGGCTGTGTGGCTCAGTGGTTGAGCGTCGATCCTGCACCAAGAGGTCACTGGTTTGATTCCCAGTCAGGGCACATGCCCAGGTTGTGGGCCTGATCCCCGGGGGGGGGAGGGGGGGGACACACATGCAGGAGGCCTCCAGTCGATGTTCTCTCCCATCGATGTCTCTATCTCTTGCTCCCTCTCCATTCCTCCTGTCTCTAAAATCAATAAAGGAAAAAAAAAACACATAGAGACGGCCGAAGGAAAGGGTGTCTAAGCAGACTCCCCACCCCACCCCGCCCAGCATGGGGCCCCCTGGGCAGTCCTGTCCTGACTCGGCAGAGTGGAGGACTGTGAGAGGACAGGACCCCGGCTGGGCAGCTTTTGGGGGCTGCCTGGCTGTGGGGTGGGCGTGAGAAACCACAGGTTTCAAGCTCTGCCTTCCCGTCCCAGCCCGCACGTTCGCAGACCACACTTCGTCCTCTTGGAAAAGCGCCTGTCCTGGCCTTCAGGGTGCCCCTGACGCTGCCCTCAGGTGGCCCCGGTGTGCTGCCCCCTCTCAATGTCCTTCTCCGTGGCGTCTGTCCTTCCAGTGACCCAGTGAACTTTCTGAAGGGGTCCCCGTCTGTGTGGGAATGATGGGTGGTTAAAACGTCCTTGTTAAGTGAGCAGCACCACCACTCACGTGGGGCGCAGGTGCTTTTTGAGGTTGTTACTCCTCCCTCGAGGTCACGTTTTCATCGATTTTAGAGTGAAAAGGAGGGAGGGAAAGAATGAGAGAAACATAGATGTGTGAGAGCCGGGGACATGCCCTGGACCGGGAGTCAAACCCACAACCCTTAGGTCAAAGGCCGACGCTCCAACCCTGAGCCAGGCCAGGGCCACGGGTGCGTTTTGTTCGAAAGAG